TTACAACATTAATTAATTTGCTCCTTGGTATCAAACCATTCTATCTTTTTCAAATTTGGTAATAACAATATAGGTAAAGCACTTGCCATCATAAAATACTTTAAAAAAATAAAATAAGTAAAACCCAATTATCAATAACTGACTTCAGCTATTCTTCATTGGATCCTTTTTGAAACTCATGGCCAGACAAAGAGTAATCTAAGAGCTTGACTCTTTAACAGGGATCCAACTTTAGCCTCATTAGTTCAAAGGAGTTTTCCGTTAGTCCATAATAATTAAGAAATAATTGTTGCAAGCTATACTTTATTGTAGTTTTAACATGGGTAGCCATTATATACGTGATTATTTTTGCCTGAGCTATGATAGCATACAATCAGTTCTGTTAACCAACCAGTTTTAGATTTATATTAGACCCTGTTTCAGACTTTGGGGATTTAATCACTAAAAAAGTTAAAGATAACCAGACTATTTTAGATTTAACTGGTAATCTGTTTTCCTTTCCCAGTAGCAAAAAAGAGCTGATTCCTGTAAGTCTGTATATTGGCTGCTTCTGGTTCTTACCCATTTGAGGAACCAATGATTCCGGAGAGTGCAGTAACCTTGCCTCAGTCCATTACTGTCAAGATATCAGTGATTTTCCTTTTTTTCTGACAAAAGTCATTGGAAGTAATCTTACATAAAACAAATTTTGATATAACCAATCAAAAATGCTATCATAAATAATCTGGGAACAAAAAATTTTACTTTTTCAATTGTAAATTTTGCTACTATTTTTCTTTCAAGTATAAAACTAAAGTAAAAAGTAAAAATCTATTTTATTGAAGTAATATGTGTCATTTGAGTTTTGAAATTAATTTAAATTATAAAGTATTGAAATTAATTTTTATTATAAAGAATCAGTATTTATATCATTTCTTTGAGTTCTTAATTTTTTCTTTCTTAATTTTTTTATTAAATCTAAAGATTTCATACTTGATACATGTAATATCATTTTGCATCATATTTGTATTTTTTCATTTCAGCTTCTTTTTCTTGTACCACTGAAACTTCACCACAGAATAATTGCATACATTTTGAAGTTGTGTACCTGCTTATATGAAATTGTTTGAGGAATTTCCCCCCATTTTTCCCTTAATTCTGATCTTGATGATTGTTTTCCAAAATTTTCAAAGATGGTACTGATTTTGTGTAATTAACTCCTGCAGTTTTCAATCTCAATCTTTTTAAATTCACACAAATGATTGTACAAATATTTAAGTTGTCCACTTGGTACTATGGAATTGTTTGATAATTTTTTTCCTGACTTGGGAACTAAGTAATTTTTCATCAAAGGTAAAATAAATAGTCTTATTAAAAGCCCATATCTTTTGGAATTCACAGAGAGTTTGCAAATCTATAGAGGCTTTTACAAATTTTGTGACTATACATGACTACTATGTACATGAGTAGTAAACCTTGAAAATGAGATATTTTTTTATTAAACTATGCTTCAAAATATTTAAAAAAATTTGATTTATATGTGTTTTTTATACTATTACTACACTGTACTTTTTTCCTTACATTTGTATAAGTATTTTCATATCAGATGTCTGGTAACTTATATAAAAGCTATTATCTAGAGCTCTGTAAAAAAAAAAAAAATGTAAACATAGTTCTAAAATATACTTTTAATGAGTGGAAGAAAATGTGGGGTACAGAATACATTTCGTAAATTATCAAAATACAAGTTACCTGTTTAAAAGCATGTCTAGTATTTTTACAGTACTTTTTAAATGAATTTAATAAATTATTTGTTTTTTAAATTGAGAATTTCTTCAGTTTCCAGTTGGAAAAATAATGTGAGATGCCTTGGAACATTCTGGTGACTATTGTACTTTTTATAATGTACAATGGAAAGGTAATTTCATTACTTAGATAAAATGGATTCAGTGGACTGATTAGCATAAAAAACTATGATGGAGAACCTTTGAAAGCAGCCAGGATAGCAGCTCCAAGGAAGATGGTCAAATAAATCTTCAACCAAGTCTGAGGCTTTACCAAGAAATTAAGAAGGCAAGTTTATTTAAGCCAAATACTTGTATGCATTTTCTAGAAATATTTGACATGAAGTGCATATTAAGACAACACGCCAGCACCCTTCTAATCTTCTGCATGCAAAACACCATTGATGTATTAATTTTAATAAGTTTTATAATTTAAGTTACCATTTTCTTGAAGAAGATTTTCGATCAAAATATTTAAAACTTCAAGGGGAGACAAGTACAATTAACAGCAAGATTTGTTCATTCAATGGGATATAACTGTTAAATTTGCAAATCACTTTTGTGCAGTTAAATTCCAAACAAAAACTTTTGACTTGTTTTATTTTTATTATGTCAAGTTTTCTGTTTAGTCAGGTTAATAGTTACTCCTTGCTATAGATCAATGCCATTTTGTATTTATTTGCACTACTAACAAATTAATTTTTATCGAATTAATTAGCAGTGTTGCTAATCATCAGATGTTTTTCATTTTCCGCTGCTAGGCGAGACATCTCTTGTCAACAGTTTATCCTACAAACTTGTGTTGATACTATTGTGTACATTTTGTAAGAAATCAGAACATTATATAGTGACTTTATATTTATAGAGAAATGGATTTGTAAAATATATAATGTGTCTTTTTTAATTCTTTTTAGGTTCTTCTGTGACAATGTTTTCATGGTGTGGGAATAAGACTTGGTGGTCTAATACAGCATATATGAAGGTATGTACCAGTATGTTAGTCCTGTTTTGAAAAAAGAAAAGTATTATAAAATGTATTTGGAAATAGCATGTGCTCTAAGCGTGAAGGTTTGTAGGAGTTTGGTAAGAAGTCTTTGCTTTCTTTAATTGCCTTTAAAGGAGTAAATTTAATTATCTGATTTGATTATGTAAAAGTTTGTTGGGATGCTGGTTTGCTGTTCTCAACTTCTATTACATATTTATAGACTTATTTAATTTGCCACTGGACATTTAGCAACCAACAATCAAATGAATCAATCATTCAAAATATGGAATATACATACAGTATATCAAAAATGAACCTTTTAAACAATCTTGAATGACTAATCATTTTATTTTTCAGGTTAGCATCACAGCTTGTCTGTAAAGATTGAAGCTGGGAGTGGGCATTGGAGCTGACTTTTATGGTAAGAACCAATACAAAAAAAACAATATGTAAAAAAAGAAATATGTTGGACATCTACCATTGACTTGTTTTTCATCCTTTTCTGCTAATAAAGACTGGTAGTTCAAAAAATATATCAGTAAATCACTTTTAAACAAAGTAAGAGAAAGGTTTTATGAATCATGATTATAATGACCAGTTATTTATTATTTTGCATTTGATATTGTTTCAATTTTCAGATTTTGACAATTACGTATAATTCTGTATATTTCTTTTTCAGGTAACTGTGGCTGCATAAAAGGGCTATGTGATTTTACTGTAACAGTAAAGAATGTAATTCAGACTATTTTTGTGTATGTTTGAGAAAATGTTTATAATTTTTACAAAAAGAAAAAAAAAATATGTACAGGTTCTCCATTTTCAACAAGATTGGAAGTTGTAGGTTAATAGGTCTTTGAAATTTCAAAAATTACTTTCTATTTTCTGCTTATACTCAATGTCTAGGCAAAACACTTCCAGCAGTTTAAGAATGGAGAATCTAAAAAAAAAAAGAAAAAGAAAAAAATGTTCAATCATTGAAATGTTTTTTATTTTTGCAAATTGTAATATATTTTTTCACCTTTGTGTCATTTTTAGCTGAGTTTATAACAAAGGGTATATTATTTTAAGAATATTTTATAAGAAGCATAGTTGAAGAATATCTTGATGAAAGTAGATTGATTGATTTTTGGTATTTAACACCACTTTCAGCATGATTTGCTATATTTTGGCTGCCAGTTTTTATTTGTGGAGACAGCCTGGTGAAAACATCCCCTTCAACAGAGAAACTGGCAACTCTAGTCAATTAAGATTGATGTTAAACACACCTACAATGTGAGGGTTCAGAGTGTTGACAGGCTAGTGATACAGTAGTTGAACTACTTTGACCATTCAGCCACCATTACTCCATCCGCACTAAATATGTTATTGAAATGTGTGGAATTTTTGTAATTTTTTTATTTTGATTTATACTATTTATGTTTTTTTGTTATTTATAACAAAGATGTAGAGTTCTAACAGGGTGAAATTTAGGTCAAAGGGAGGTAATTTATTATACTGTGTTTAACTTCAAATACTTGAAATTCCCTCAATGTTAGATTTTTATTTACTTGGATACTCACATTTATGCACTTTTTTACATATCAGATGTTTTCTAGATAATAGAAATTTAGGGTGGGAAAAATTATGTGTCACTTAAAATAATTACGTGAAATTTTTCAAAAAGTTTATTAATTGAAAGTGCATCTGATATTTTTTATGTATGTTACTTTATTTTCTAAACAAATGGACACAACATAGATTGACAATAAGATATTGAGAAGAACCACCTTATCAGCCAGGATAGCAGCTCTTAGGAAGATGGTCAATTAAATCTTCAACCAAGTCTGACTCTTTACCATGAAAATAGAAAAGGCAAGTTTATTTTAGCCAGATCTTTTAAGATAACAGACCCTTCTGAAATATTGCATTTAAAACACCATTGATGAATTAATTTACCAGTTTAGTATTTAAAGATACAAGATACATGAACAAGATTTTCTGTTGAAATATCAATAGTAAATCCTAAAAATAGTCATTAAACCAAAAAAAGACCAGTACAATTTAAAACACGATTTTGCATTCAATGGGAGATAACTTTGTAAAATATTCAGATAGTTTTTTGTGCAGTTAAATTTAAATCTTGACGTTTTTTTACTTTTCTATCTTTTATATTGATTTAAAAAATGATTTTATACAATTGTCTACCTGCAATAGGAAATCAGAACAATATTTAGTAAATTTTAGGTTATCGGTAACACATAAATTGATTTACAAAATGTATAATGTGTTGATTATAATTTCATTTCAGGTTCTTTCTGAGACATGTTTTCATGGTGTGGGAATAAGACTTGGTGGTCTTATACAGCTAATACAAAGGTATGTACCAGTATGTTAGTCCTGTTTTGGAAAAAATGTATTATAAATATTTTATGGAAAATCAAGATTTTAATGCTTAAAAGATTTTTTTACAGGAATCTACTCTTATTATTATATCAGTAACCAAATAAGAGTAAAGTTTAGGATCTGAATTGTTTACATAAAAATGTGTTGGCTTGTTGGATTGCTGTCTCATCCATATGTTCTTGACATATATAACACATTTTTTAAGACTATTTCTATTTCATGATTTGTCACTGGACGTTAAGCAACCATCAACCAATCATTCAATCTATTCAATATACATACATAATACCAAAAAAGAACCTTTTAAACAGTTTTTATATGCCCGTTTACGGGACGTATTATGGTATACCTCTGTCCGTTTGTTGTCAACATGTCGGACATTAACTCAAAAACGCTTTAACCAATTTGCATAAAACTTTGGTGAATTGTTTATATCTATTGACGTGAGCTCCCTTTTGTTTTTATAAATTTTAGATTTTATGTTTCCGAGTTGTGGGGTTTTATTCATTAAAAAAAGGGGGGTTTTCCAGTTTTCAGACAATAACTCAAGAATGCTTTCACCAACTTGCAAGAAATTGTGGTGAATTGTTTATATCTATTGACAGGAGCTACCCTTCGATTTTTATAAATTTTCGAATATACATTTCTGAGTTGCAGGGTTTTATTAAGAATTATCATTTTATATTTCAGGTTAGCATCACAGCTTGTCTGTAAGGATTGAAGCTGGGAGTGGGCATTGGAGCTGACTTTTATGGTAAGAATCAATACATAGATTTATGAACTTTTCATCCAAGAGCATTTTAAAGCCCAAGATTTTTGTTAGGCACAGATGTAAATCTTACATATTAATGTCTTCTTTACTTATAGTTGAATAAACAATTTAGAAGGATATATAAAGGAAGTCACAAAGTATAATGTATAAATCGAAATCTTGGGATTTCAGTATTTTTGTTATCTATAGTTGTCCCCATATATGAAAATATGTAAGTGTGGTATGTATGCCAATGAGACAGCTATCAACCAGAGACCAAATGATGTGGATGCAACTAAATGTCACCCTATGCCTTCAACAATGAGCAAAACCTATATTGTATAGTTAGCTATAAAGGTTCAACATGACTAAATGTTAAAAAAATCAATCAAGTATGTTAATGGCCTGATATACTATATATAGCTATAAAACAATGTTAAAAAGATATTTGTCAAGACATCAGCCAATGACTTGTTTTTCATCCTTTTATTGCTAAGAAATACTGGTACTTTAAAATTTATGTCAACAAATCACTTTATAACAAAGAAAAAGAAATGTTCTATACATTATAATTGTAATGCTCAGTTAATTATAATTGTAATGCTTAGTTAATTATTATTGTTTTGCATTAAATATTATTTCAATGTTCATGAGTAATGTATATTTCTTTTTCAGATAACTGTGGCTGCATAAAATGGTTGTGTGATATAACTGCAACAGTAAAGAATGTAATTCAGACTATTTTTGTGTATGCTTGAGAAAATGTTTAAAAATTTTTTACAAAAAAAAAAAAAAAAATATGTAAAGATTCTCCATTTTCAACAAGATTGGAAGTTGTAGGTTAACTTGTATTTGACATTACAAAATATCTTTCTATTTTCCGTTTATACTCATGTCTAGTCAAAACACTTCCAGCAGTTTAAGAATGGATAATCTAAAAGAAAAAGAAAGAAAAAAGAAAGAAAAAATGTTAAATTATTGAAATATTTTTTTTTTTTTTGCAAATTGTAATGTATATATTTTTGCCATCTTTTTGTTATTTAGGATTTGAGATACTTTCAAATTTTACAAGTTACTTTATACATGTAGTTAATGCAATTAAATCTGCCGATGTGAATATTCCCACAAAATTTCTTAGCAAAAATTTTAATTATTTTTGTTGTTTTAAGCAACGTTTCAAAATACCTTACCATAGCAAATGCCTCTCTAGTGTAAACTAAAAAGATGAATAATGGTCTGCAGTAAATATATCCCCTTACAACCTTTTCTTTCATGTTAATTTTAATATCTTTAAGATATGTGACAAGGGTGCTCTAATGCAGAGGAATTTATGAAGTTAAGAAGTTAGAAATATATTTTTCGCACTGTTTTGTCATTTTTAGCTGATTTTGGTTTGTAACCAAGGTGATATTTTTTAAAGAATAATTTTACAAAAGGCATAGTTGAAGAACATCTTGTTGAAATTGGATTGGTTGATTTTTGGTGTTAAACACCACTTTAAAATAAAATGATTTACTATAATTTTGGCTGTAAATTTTTATTTGTGGAGACAGCCAGAGTGCCTGGTGAAAACATCACCTTCATGAGGGAAACCGGCAAACCTTAGTCAAATTAAGAATGAAGTTACACATTTCATGTGAGGGTTCTCAGTGTTGACAGGCTAGTGATACATTAGTTGAACTACTTATAGCACCACTCTGCCACCATAAGTCGATCAGTACGAAATATTTTATTGAAATGTGTTAGATTTTTGTTAATCTATTTTTTAATTTTAATTGTACTATTTTATTTATTTTGTTTAATATAACAAGGATGTGGAGTCCGAACAAGGTGAAATTTGGGTCAAAGGGAGGCAATTTATTATACCCCTGTTTAACTCCACATACTTAAAATTCCCTCAATGTTAGGATTTTCATCTACTTGGATATTCATGTTTGTACATTTTTTTTTTTTTAATATCAGATGTATACTAGCTAATAATGACTATTATTTAGAGCTCTGTAATAAAAAAAAATAAATGTAAGCAGAGCTCTAGATAATAAATATGCAGGGTGGGAGAAATCTTGGGTCGTTAACAATTCATTTGCTGAAATTTTCAAGAAAGGGGATTTATTGGAAATGCATCTGATATATTTAATGTATAAAACTATATTTAAAAAAAAAAGATGTTAAGATGGTGAGGAGAGCCACCTTGTCAGCCGGGAGAGCAGCTCTTAGGGAGATGGTCAATTTAATCTTCAAGTCTGAGGCTTTACCATGAAAAATATGTGGTAAGTTTATATATTCCACAAATTTTATGGTAATAATATATATAGGCATTTAACATTATTTTTTAAGGGTTCTTTTCTATCAGTGTTTGATTTTTAGAGTATCTAGTCTTACATTTGTTTTCTGTCTGGTATTGAGTGAGCTGTGTTGGATAGAAACCAACTGTATGCAAGTTATCAATGAATTTGTAAACTTATTTGGGTCGAACAAATTTTTATGCAAAGTCTGTAACTGTTTGAATATTGAATTGATATAGAATCATTTTCATAAAAGCGTGGACAAGACGATTTCTTGGCGCTCTTATGTTATCTATTGACTGGGTCAGATAAGGTGAAAGTTTGTTTGTAACGCCCACTTGTCACATTGAATGTGTTATAGACATTTAAACTCGGGTCGCCAAAGATTCTAAATGCCTACATCAAATAGTACGAATTACTAGCAGAGGACTAAACCTTGTGTGTTGATTTAAATGTTGAATAATTTTCTTTTATTCTTCTCTTGTGCCTACATGTACTTTGCTCTTTTATTCTATTAAATCCCTATTGGAAGGCCTCTGACACTGAGTGAACGTAAAATCACTGTTATCGATAGCCAATGGCAAACAAGTTAAAGGTACTGTAAATTCAAAAATTATTGCGTGCAATTATTAATAAATAAATTTGGTGTATTTACTGTCTTCTGATTGGTTAAAAGTATTACTTTTATTTTCAATGTTGTCAATTTTTATGGCGACATGCCCACTCTGACGTCGCATATTCATACGCCAACATCCATGTACGTTGTTATGGTTAATATAAATAATATAAAAAGTTCTTTGAGCCTTATTTTTGATAGAAATTTATTTATAATGAATGGCTATAATTTATTTTGAATTTATTGAATCATAAAATTAATTTTTGACTTCACATAATTTTTACATAATACGCTATGCGGATTTTTCAATGTGAAGAGTCAAAAATTAATTTTATGGTTCAATAAATTCAAAATAAATAATAACCATTCATTAATAATTGCTATTTTGTAATTTTAGACTAAAATGCGATTTTAATTTTTGCGATATTGAGAAAAATCCTGTTTAATTCATATAAAAAATTTCAAAATGCTAGTTTAAATTATTGCCAATACAACCATATTGCATTTTTCGCAATAATAAAAACATTGCAATAGTTTCTGAATTTACAGTAATTGAGCTAGTTTTATTTCCAACATAAGTATTGGGGTTGTCAACGCTGTTATGAAAATGATTTTAAGAACCATCAAAAGAGAACAAAACCTTCGGTTTTTTGTCGAGCCTTCGACTTTAGTCGAAAAAGCGAGACATAGCGATCCTACATTCCGTCGGCGTCGTCGTCGTTGTCGTCGGCGGCGTCCACAAATATTCACTCTGTGGTTAAAGTTTTTGAAATTTTAATAACTTTCTTAAACTATCCTGGATTTCTACCAAACTTGGACAGAAGCTTGTTTATGATCATAAGATAGTATCCAGAAGTAAATTTTGTAAAAATAAAATTCCATTTTTTCCGTATTTTACTTATAAATGGACTTAGTTTTTCTGCGGGGAAATATTACATTCACTCTGTGGTTAAAGTTTTTAAAATTTTAATAACTTTCTTATACTATTTTGGATTTGTACCAAACTTGGACAGAAGCTTGTTTATGATCAAAAGCTAGTATCTAGAAGGAAATTTTGTTAAAAAATAAATCCATTTTTTCTGTATTTTACTTTTAAATGGACTTAGATTTTCTGCCAGGAAACAACACATTAACTCTGTGATTAAAGTTTTTAAAATTTTAATAACTTTCTTATACTATTTTGGATTTGTACCAAACTTGGACAGAAAGCTTGTTTATGATAAAATGCTAGTATCTAGAAGGAAATTTTGTTTTCTTCCAGTTAACATTACATTCAGTCTGCAATTAAAGTTTTTAAACATTTAGATTCATAAACTATCCTGGATTTTTACCAAACTTGGATAGAAGCTTCTTGCAATCAAAAGATAGTATCAAGAGGAATATTTTTATTGATTTACTTCCTCATTTTTGTTGAGCCTGCGATTAACAGAAAAAGTAGGCGAGACACTGGGTTCCGCAGAACCCTTACGAATTTTTTAATTGAATATTCCAAAATCATTGTCTTATACATATACGTGCACTTGCACAAGGTCAATTTCTATCTCTAGCAGTTTAAAGTTTATATAGTGAAGATGATAATGTATAACAGGTTTTAATAAATGAAACATATCATTATTTTGTTAGTCTTCTTAGAGACAGATTGATCTGTAAAACAAGTAATTATGTTTTTATTTTTTTTATATTTAGGTTGTTATAATGATGATGTTTTCATGGTGTTGGGAGTAAGACTTGGATGTCTGATATTGTTAACATGTTGGTAGGTAATCAAGCATCTTTTTAGTAATATAATATTTGAAATCAATTTCATAAGGTTCTTTAGTATCAAAAAAATAATTTTACACTGATGAGATACAGGTTGAATTTTTTTGGTAAATATAAAACTGAGTATATAATTCAGAATACAAAATATTTTGTCCATGATTTTATGTTATCCTAGTGTAATTTTAAATTAAATACATGTGTAATAATTTTTTTTAGGAAAGTTTACTATAACTGACTACTTTTATATTCCAGGTTAGCATCAGGTTTCCATTGGGTTACTTGCTGGGATAAAGCTGTTATAAGGTGAGAACTTATTCATCGACATACAACTTTAATGTTTTTATGTTATAGTGTGATGAATGTCACTAAATAGATTTCAATATATATACTTTTTTTTTAATTTACAATTAAAAAAAATCAGTATTCAATCTTTTCATTTTAAAATAATGTACCCTTTAAAGCCTTAGGCCCGAGAACACAGTTATTTTGTAGTGCATTTCTTTTAGACAATAAATTCAAATTAAAAAAATCGCACCTGCTCTATCTCAAAAAGATTTTTACAGTGTAGTGTACTACTATTGATACAAATAATATCAAAATTATAGAAACTTCTACCAGCTCTAACTCAAAATATTGACAATTCTGTGTTTAGGGGGGCTAAAATTCAGTTTGACAGCTTCCGACATTCTAATTTTTGACCTTTTTTAACTGGACCAAATCACTACTTAACATAAAGATTCAGCACCCAAATTTTTTTAACATGTAATTTCATCCCCTTACTAATATTTCATGCATAAAATATCAAGAAATAAATTGGAAAAGTGTATCAAAAAAAAATGCAAGTTATACACTGTTCACACTAGGGACTATATTCGTAGACAACGAAAACCAAAGGACGATAACTGTGTCCTTGGACCTAATAGGATAGAAAGACTTGACCAATTTTAATAAAACTTTGCATGACCTAAGCTTAGGCAATTTTAAGATAGTTGGCCAAGTTTCATGGCCATAGAATATATATTATAGAAACTAGGGCCATTTTAATATTGAAATTTGGATGTTTATTTTTGACGTTTAAATCAAATATTTTCAACTGTCAAGATTTTGGCCTAAAAAATTTAAATATTGCAAAAATTTGCTTTTTAAATACTCTTGAATTTAATATAATAAGTATTAAAAGCAACGGAACACTCATTTGATTTATCAGATTTATTACAGTTATTCAAAAGTCAAATTTATATGAGCCTGTGCCTGAAAATAGAGATTTTCGAATTAAGGGAAGTCTTACATAAACATGCATTTTTTTCAACCAATTTGAAGTTTTTGAAGGTTTTTAACCATACATTATTCTTCCATATATATTAAATGTACTTTAAATGTAAAGAAAAGTTACAAAAAGCATACCACATGAGTATAAAATGGTCTTAGGCTATGTAAGACTAAGAATTATTTAGAGTCGATTTAGGCCGTAGCCCATATTTACATATAAAAATGCACACAGAGGCTATAAGGAAGTGAAATTTGTTACTTTTTGCTCATTTCTATGCTAAGATGTCATGATACAAGAAGTCTAATTGCAAAAGGACTCTTGAATTCAACTTTTTTCTGCAGACAGTATGGTCTGATGACCAGTTTTTCACTTTTCAATGGAAAACTTGCATGTAGTTTTAGTCTCATTTGGCATATATTTGAACCACTTACTATCCTAAAGAAGAAAATTATAGTAGCATATGAAATGAATAGGGTGTACTGATCATTATAAAGTGTTTTTTTTGCAGATTTAGTGAAATATTTGTGACGGACTACAGATTTTATGTACAAAGCTCTTCACATTTCACATACATCAAACAGGCCGTTTAACCAGGGACATACATACAAATATTCTGCACATTTTTTCTGTGATAATCTACTTTTCTCTAGATTCTGAGTTCACAAATGGTTAATTAAATTTGATTTAAGCATAGAAACACAAATATCAGGAACATAAAAAGCTGTCAGATAGAAAGTCAGCATGGCTCTTAGGCATAAAATGGAAACTGCTTTAAAATGCTTATTTTAGCCTTATAATGCCAAAATGGGACATTTTAACAGAATTTCTGTCAAACAAAGATGTAAATTCTTTACTTTTATTGAGTTTGACAAATTGAAACCAGAAAACCATTCAGGAAAGTTGCCAAAGTACAGAATCTACATTTACGGAATTCATCTCTTAGGCCCGAGAACACAGTTATTTTGTAGTGCATTTCTTTTAGACAATAAATTCAAATTAAAAAAATCGCACCTGCTCTATCTCAAAAAGATTTTTACAGTGTAGTGTACTACTATTGATACAAATAATATCAAAATTATAGAAACTTCTACCAGCTCTAACTCAAAATATTGACAATTCTGTGTTTAGGGGGGCTAAAATTCAGTTTGACAGCTTCCGACATTCTAATTTTTGACCTTTTTTAACTGGACCAAATCACTACTTAACATAAAGATTCAGCACCCAAATTTTTTTAACATGTAATTTCATCCCCTTAATATTTCATGCATAAAATATCAAGAAATAAATTGGAAAAGTGTATCAAAAAAAAATGCAAGTTATACACTGTTCACACTAGGGACTATATTCGTAGACAACGAAAACCAAAGGACGATAACTGTGTCCTTGGACCAGATACTAGATCTGAAGAAGATATATGAAGGGGAGATAACAATAAAATCGGATATTTTTGATACTATATATTTTTGAGTAATCAATATAAGTAATAAACAAATTGTTTAACATACACTGATGTCTGTTTCTTTATTCCCATTAGATTATTTTAAAATTAAGAATCAACAATTGAAATTTAACTTTGTTTCTTTTTCAGTTGAAAGAGTTGCTGTTGCTGCCTTCCTTGTATGGTAAAATCCTCAGACTACAATCCTGCAAACCATTGGATGAATAAACTGTTACTATCTTTTGTAAAAAAATCAGCAGATATTTGTCTTATAAGCAGAATGAATTATAAATGCAAATAATTTTTAATGCTATGTTATTCAAATTATAAATATTTATTTCATTATTTTTTCTTGCATTCAATTATTGTTTTGTGATTGAAGAAATATAAAAAAAAAACTGAAATTATTGTTATTTGAGAGGTCCCAAAGTTTCACAAGATACCCATAAGACTTGCTTCAGTTTACATATATTTTTTAAGTTATGTACACTGGTTAAGAATTATAAGTCCTTTGTGAAATGATTTTTTCTGGTTAGAAACCTATTAAGTAGGACTTTGATGGCCAAACACTTTAAGGGAATAAAACAAATCCCCTATTAAACAATTTAAGTACTGAGTTTTTGGTGCAATATGAACTAGAAATAAAAATGTTTAGTTAGATGGTTTGTTTTGACTCTGCATTCTTTACATTCATACAAATTAATGGCTGTCAGTTTTATTTATTGGTTTTGTTTATATATTATAAATGCATTATTCAGCATCTGAGACCACTCAAGTGAAAATAATTACATAGTTTTTGCAGTTTGTCATATTTTCTCATTTTTGTGTGATTGATTTCTATATTTTTTCTCAGTTATGATTATTTATATTTTAATGTTTGATTTTTGAGGCTTGTACTCAGCTTCTAAACAATTACCTGCCCCCTCCACATGTATAACCAGGATCCTGTAAAAGAAGGATTGATTTTGAAGGATGGATGGATAATTAAAAATGCAAGATTTTTTTATTGTGATAGTTCATAATGTAAAAGTCTGCACAAGACATCTAACCCTACCTGAACACATTATTCTGACTTCCAGCTGACCAGTCTTTGCTCCTACTCCTAATTGCTGAATGCTTAGCAGGGGAGCATCAAATACCAATTTTCAATTCTTTGATACAACCCAGGGCAGGACCAAATCCCATGCTCATCTGCACTCATGTTGAGCATAAAAAGGTTATTAAAGAAGATTTGGCTGTCTGTTTGTCCATCATCATCTCTCATCCACAGCTTATAAACTATTGGAAGGTTTTCATATAAACTTTCAGATTATCTTCTGTATCTAATGGCTGTGTGTATTTTATTTTATTATAATGAAATTTTGGGGTTCTCAATTGTAATGAATGGACCTCCTAAGTATTTGAAAAAAGGGGAAAGAAGCTTCTCATAACACCATTTTATCATGTGAAGGATAGGTTGGTTCAAATATATTTGTTTTTAATCATGTTTTTAGTAGTTGGATCTCATTATGACAAAATTTTAATGAATTGAATTCAAAATAAATTTGGGGTTCACACTGATATATATTACCACTGTAGCTTTAATGTAAATTCTATAAGGCTTTGCTATAACAAGATTTGTGTTTTATCTGGTTTTATCTGATTTTAGTGGTTTTTATGTGATTTTATTTGTTTTTACTGTCAAATCTTGTTATACCAAGCCTTAGTATGATTGAGTTTATATATTTTGATTATACATGCAATTCAAAATATAAATTTACATAATGAGATCATCAGACTTTTATTATGCTTTTAACTCTTCTTAGTGGATAAAATAGAAAAATGAATGAACATAAATATTGAAGTGGTCGTTGAAGATTGACCAAATTACAAGATTTATAAATGCAGAATCTTGCGCTAAATAAATCTGTGTTCTTATCAGCTGAACCAACCTATCCTTCAATATGAGTAATAAAATTTTATGAATGGAAAAGTCCATTCTTCGATTGGGGAACCTTTGGATGTGAAAAAAATATACACAATGCCAACAGATACTGAAGATTATTTGAAAGTTTAGGCAAAAAAAAATCAATCCTTTAATTGTGATTGGAAGTTTTAGACGGATGAGCAAACAGATGATATACTTGCTTACTATGGCACATTTCCTAAAGGATATGGACTATGGGTATGGGTTTTGCTCATGGTTGAAGGCTGTAGGTGACTGATAGTTGTTAAATTCTATGTCATTTGGTCTCTGGTCGAGAGTTGTCTCATTGGCAATCATATCTCCTCTTTTTATTTTATATGAAATAATTACTTATTACTTCCTGGGCAAAAAGTTCTGGTTCCAAGAAAAAAATTAAAAAAAATATTTATATCATACATGTATTGTTAAATAACTATCCTACTTTGATATAAAGAATTGACTTTGGTTAGAAATTGGGAGGAATTATAAAGAAACTTTATATACAATATAAGAGCTCGGGGTTATAAATGTTTAATGAAATGCAGTTAACTATTTCCTTGGTGATCTAATAATTTTTGCACAGCTCACGATATTAGTTTATTTAAATAACCCAGTAAATATATTGAGTACACCTCATAAATGAATTTG